TGGATCAAATATAAAAGTCAGCCGTATTAGTATTGATACTGCAAGGAGACGTATTTTGTGAAAAGAAATGTAAGATGTTGTTTAATTGTTGATATATTTATGATCCACGTCACGTATTCAGTTTCGGCGGCAGTTCTTCCAGAACTTCAGTCCAGAAGTCTTCTCATCAGGGCTCTATAAATAAAGAACTATGGCAGATGTGTAATATTTAATGCAGCCGAACCGTGTATTACAATGCCGTTATGTGATGACTTTCAAAGAGAAAAGCAAGAACACTCGGAATAAAGTATTATTATTATTTTTTTTAATGTTTTCGGATTTCACATCGCATAAACACCATATCCCAACGTGCATTGCGGCTAAAACATCCAATCAGCGAGCTGAGGATCTTTCCTACGTCTGTTTCCGGTATTGTTCCTGTAATGAAAGTTCACATTTATGCTACATTGAAGGGTGGAATTGACTACACATCTTCAGAAACATAATTTGCTTCAGATATATACTGTAACTCATAGCAATATTGTAACCATTAAGAAAAGCCAACTGCATTAAAAACCCAGTTAACAAACACAAGGTAAAGTATTTTTCCTTCAGTAATGAAGATGTAATTCCAATGTAGACACACCTGGGGTCGCTGTTCAGTCTGTTACGCTGAGCCATGCATTGTCTGGAACGTAAAAGGGACGAAGAAGACAAAGTGAAGTGACGTACTTCCGGTTCAATGTGAAAACATTCCCAGTTAAACCATAGATATATATAAAAACATATGTTTATATATATCTATGAGTTAAATAACATAAACAAATCGCTTAATAAAAAGATAAAACACTGGCATGTAATTTACGTTTGGATTAAATAGAATGGTTTTGAATAATAGATGAGAGTAAAATCTACGTCACAGCCCCACCCACTTTTGGGGAAACCAACGCTGTCATTTGAACGGTGATCAAGCCTGAAGCCACAGAGCTCTTCTGCTGTCCTTAGAGGAAGTTTGAGGTGTTTGAGGTGCAATAAACGACACAGCAGCTTTTTGGCATGTTAAAACTCTGCCTCGCAGCTGGCGAAATTACAGCCTCGCCTACTGATTTTAATTTAACCATAGGATATCAAGCCCGATCGTCGATTTCAAATGTGTGCTCTAAAATGATATTAATAAATGACTATTATCATTATTATAAGCTAGAAAAGAAATGTCAAAGATAGGTAGAAAGCAAACTTATTTAAGATATGTTCAGAACAAACGTAACGTGGGACAAAAGACGTTTCTTGTTAAACGTAATTGAGAATGCTGTATGAAACGACTACAAACAATATTGTGATTATTAAGCATTAACCAGCATAATAACGGATTTGGTCAACTGAAAAGTCAGCCGCCAGCCAGCGCGAAAATAAGTTTGCTCTAAAATGATATTAATAAATGACTATTATCATTATTATAAGCTAGAAAAGAAATGGCAAATATAGGTAGAAAGCAAACGTATTTAAGATATGTTCAGAACAAACGTAACGTGGGACAAAAGACGTTTCTTGTTAAACGTAATTGAGAATGCTGTATGAAACGACTACAAACAATATTGTGATTATTAAGCATTAACCAGCATAATAACGGATTTGGTCAACTGAAAAGTCAGCCGCCAGCCAGCGCGAAAATAAGTTTGCTCTAAAATGATATTAATAAATGACTATTATCATTATTATAAGCTAGAAAAGAAATGGCAAATATAGGTAGAAAGCAAACGTATTTAAGATACGTTCATAACAAACGTCATATGAGAGAAAATAGGTTTCTAGAAGATATGTAGAAAATAAACGTATTTAAGATATGTTCATAACAAACGTAACGTGGAAGGAAATACGTTTCTTGCGAAACGTATTTGAGAATGCAGTTTAGTTTTGTGGGAACGTAATTTCTAGGAGACAGGGTTGACACGTCTGAACTGTAAGGAAAATAGTATTTCTTCTTTACATTGTGTGAAATTTTGCTTCAATAAAAGGAACAAAATCATCTTCGTTTTAGACGTTTCCATGTGTTTTGTGTAGTTCATAGTTGATGAGTCAACAATGAAGCAGTTTGGTGTTTACCGTCATTTGGCACGTGTATTTTTGGTTCGTGTGTGTAGCATTTTTAATGGCAGTGTTTTGAAAATGGCAACAAGTGAATATGTCAGATTTCTGTGTCAGATTTTTGCTCTTTGAGTGTGAGATTAAATAATTGTGCTTTACAGCATGTGTTATTTTAGTGTGTGAGCAACAGAAAATGAACTGTAAGTGAAAACACCTACGCATGATACAGCATCAAATAATGGAAAAAACTCTTACATAAAGATGGGATTTTATCAGTGATGAACTGATGATTATGAGGTAAAATGTAAAATAAATGTAAGTAGTGTCTAAATATTACTTTATTAGTGAATTTTGGGTTTTATTCACCGTTGACTGTTATAGGCTAATGTTGAAATGATATCCAACAATTGAGAAATGTATAACAAGGCTTGTAAATTGTTATTCTTGGTTTTGTATCCCCGCCAACTTTCAATTTTCAAAACAAAACTTTCAAGGTGAGTGACAAATGGCATAGGAAAGACATTACAGTAAATGTAAATTGAAACAAGTTTGTCCTCAAATTCTTAACAGTCTGATCAGTGAACTGGATTTTCACACAGTGTCTTCTTCAAGAGTGAGCAAATAAGCCCATTACCACTGCGACCAGATTTAGAAGATGACACAAACAGGAAGAAACAAGTGTGTGAAAAAAGACTCACACTGACTCACTGTCTGTTTCACTAGAACAACTGAAAGCTCCTTATAATTATACTGTATGATCAAAACCTTTCATACATGCCATTTCTTCATCACCCTTTCACCTTTGAATATAAAGTACAACACAAATCACAAGGAACAACTTATTTGACCTAAAGCCGTATATTTTAAATATATAAATCTGAAAAGCATGTTGAAAAATTAAGTGTTTTAGTGTGCATTTCATATTTTTATTATTGAATCGGGAGCACTAATTTCTCCTTTTCATTATCAAATGAATATAAAAAAAGCAGTACATTTCCTCCAGGTTTCTCAAAATATCCTGTTTCCCTTTTTGTTTCTACGTCACTTTTTCTAAAGAAATAGTTTAACCTATTAGTAGCCAAATATGTAACAGTTTTTTTTTCTCATTTTACAAAACACTAATATCAATCTTTTGGCATATTATACAATTTAATAGGAAGCGGTTTAATCATGGTTTTCCTGTTCGAGGTTTTTATCATTGCTTAAGCACAATTTAAAAATGAGTTCCTTTTGTCGAAACACTAAACAATTCAGACAACATCACACACAGCAGAACTCCTCAGATATTTTTAAAACGATTTTGTCCAAAATATGAATGTACACTTGATTGGTGAGTGTTTGTACACCTCACGGTCGTGTTTGTTGAATTTATAGGGACGTATTTTAAAAGTGAATCTTTATTTATGGCATACAACACCAAATCATGAATAGATATCTCAACACATAAAGAGCAGATCTTGACTGTAATCTTGAAGATTGCCCAGGAATGGCAAAAGAAGTTACATCCTGTTTAGTTTCCAGAATTTGCTTAGATTTCAAGATATGGGATGCGATTTTGCTGCTTAAACTTCTTTTAGTTTCAATCATTGTTTGCTTCATGTTTCATTTTAGCAATTGAAAAAATACCTTGGAGGCTCAAAAGCTTCAAAGCTGAGAGGAAAGCTTAGGTACAACTGTTAAAGTGTTAAAAGCTCCAGTACGCAGTGAATACACTTTATTTAGCTTTAAATTGTTTAAGTGTAATGCCTCATTCTATAAGTAGTTTTAAGAACTTCCCCTTCTTCTCTCTTCTCTTTGTTATAATTTATTCAAACAACAAGAGACAGATCGGGGGGAGAACAAAGCACTGAGATATAAAATACCTGACAAAAAGAGTTCTACTTTGTTGTACTTTCTTGTGGCACACTTCTGCTTTGTATCAGGAAACAGTCAACTTTGAGAGCACTTTTGGAAATGTTAAGCACCTCGAGGGCAGTGATGACAAGTTGTGTTTCCACACAATGTGACACATTTTGTGGAGGTTTGTTGTTTCAGGCTGCATGTTTATAAATTGCAATTCCTCTTTATCTTGATCTCAAAGAAGACAGAGAAACAGCTGAACCAAAACAGTCAAGTTCTCTGTCCCAATATTCATATGATCTTAGATTTTAAAGGTTAATATCACATAATCAAATGTATTTTAAATGGCTAACAGACTTTTAATATCCACTCCTCTGCAGGGATCTTTCTTCAACGAAGCCACACTCTGTTTCCATTTACTAATGTAATGTTTAATCATTCATTTCAATGTGTCCTTCGTTCCTCTTGTATGCTCTATTTGTGATAATTAGAATGATTAAAGTTGTGTGATAAGCAGTTTTCTAGATACAATTTACATTTGAATACACTGCAATGTTTCCCAAACTGCCCTGACTGCTCATGTAGTATTAGAGAGTGATGCAATAATCATCCGCTTAAGTTAATTAATATGTCATAATTCATTTTTGACAATTATACTAAAAACACACATGTTTCAAAGAGCAAGACAACTCTAGAAACCTTTAAACTCTATGATCATTGTAAGGCCACATTTTGAAAATAATGTAAATAAATAAGGCAATACAGAATTAACTTTAAAATTAAGGTAATTTAAAGATCCAATCCGATCCAATCCACTTTATTTATATAGCACATATTAAAAACAGAGGGTTTAGCGAAGTGCTTCACAGCAGACATAACATTATAATAAAATATAATATTACAATAATAGATAAAAGGCACACATAAGAATAGATAAAAAGGCATACATAAAGATGTTTTAGGATCTTCATCTTTGCAGGTGATAAAGTTGTGGCCAGTGCAGTGGTTAAAGGTTAAGGGTAAGGAAAATGAGGAAGAAGAAGTGGATTACAGAACAGATTCTTTTAGAGAAATACGCATTCTGCCTGACCATCGTGTGTCTCCAGTCATCGGGTAAAATATGGCGAGGTTTATCCATAGAGAGGAATCTGAGATCACCATGGACTATGTGAATCTACCTGAGCCGACAGCCGGGAGTAACGCCCTGGAGAGCGGACCTGGTGAAGACGCTGGACTGACTCCTGCAGTGTGCGGTGAGACAGAAAACATTCAATTTAACATTTCTAAAAAATTGAACCGTACAAGCAATATGAACATTTTAATTTGAGAATGTATTGTTCAGAATTCAAAGAAGATTTAATTGTAGAAATACTGAGGAAAAATCTATATCTCCATTTGTCAATTGTGTGATTTTTCACTTAAGATCCTATATATCCATGTTTGACTTTGTTGACACGGTTTACTTTCAAGTACTGTTAGTTTACCAAGCAGAATTCGGTCTGCACATATCCTAAAATGTAGTGAATTCAAAATGCCAACAGAGTAAAATTATTCAGTTAATGCTGTAAACTTGTGTCTTGCAGTAGGTCTTTATTTTGTCAGCATGTCTGTCTGATTTCTGCGCACAGGGAGAACACTCAGACTGGTTGCTGTGAGCTTTGGACTCCTGTGTATCCTACAAGTTGCTCTCAACATTTCCCTGCACTTCACTCTCTGTAAGTCATTTCAAACCGTCTCTACTGATGCATTTTATCAGAAGACCAGAACATCTGCTTTCCACCACAGTTAAATTATTGCATTTAAAAAATGTGAGACTTTCTTTAAGGGGTTTAAGTATGAATATAGAATTTAAGATAACTCTGTGTTTATGCTCATGCTCCCTCACAGTTTCTATCCAATTCAGCTTGGATAGCTAGGGGAAGTTGAGACAACACATGGCATAATAAAAGCGTGTTTTTGTTTCTGAAGCAAACCAATTACTTTCAGCTATGATACAACTTGAGCATCTGTTATCTTGCATATATCCGCTCTACATTAGACGATATATATTATACAGATTTGCTTCTCCCCCTGCCTACTTGTAAAAGGGTCTTTGATTAAGATGCTGACTGCATGTTGTGAAAATGTTTGGTTTAATGTAATGTAAATATTGAATTCTCAATGAAGTGTTTTTTTGCTCTTTCAGACAGTAAGACATCAGATATAGATGTCAGTTGCACAAACCTGACTTACGAGACTGAGAAGCTGAAGAAGGAACTGATTAACTTTGGTCAGTGGGAGGAGGAAACACATAATGATTTGCATGCAAAGGATCATTTTTGGCCAAATCGGAAATCATGTATAGTCTATCAGATGAAAATTCACAATAAATATTGACAGTGCAAAATGGAATTATAATGCTCTGTTGTAATGAGGACTTTACGGTGATAGTGAGGCTTGGATTTTGGGGTAAACACTATACAAATATATTGCTGTTAATTAACATACCCACTTTTGGTATTAATTGGACTTTCTGCACAGCTGAAACAAACAAGTTAGTTTGACACAGGTCAGGTTGGAGGTATTTGGTTCTTTGTTTTTGTCTGACTGATTCAAATTGATACAAATTGATACATTGAAAACTCAGCAAAGTAATGTAATAAAACAGCCATGCCATAATACTGTATCTGTCTGTAAAAAAACTCATGATGTTCAGTTTTTGGGGACATTGTTGGATATCAATCACATGTTTATCGTTAAAGGTTTAGGTAGAGGTGGTGAAATTTGTATTTTTGTCCTTCCTACATGTTGGGGGCAGGGTATTAGAAACTTCTCTCAATACAAAGGTCATCCAGTAAAATACCATCACTCACTGTGTGACTTATACATATAATTTAATATGTGACGACCCCTGTCCACTGGGTGTCCATTTGTCCTTTTGCTTGGTGGCTCTACTTTGTTTAGTAGGGGGGAAGGGACATATGTTGTTGCATTGATACATTTCAACACCTCCACACAGAGAAAAATAACTAACCCCTCTATGTCAACAGAAACTGAACATCCTAGGCGTCATAATTGCGTTAGATTGTACAGGTGTACCTACCAATCACATGTAATAGGTGGATAAATTACTGAAAGGAATAACAAAATGTAGTTTAAAACCTTTTTTAAAAAAAAGTTTGTTGTTAATTCCTCTTTTGAAAAAAGGGATAAAGTCCTGAAATTATAAATCGATCAATTCAATTTTATTTATATAGCCTAAAATGACAAATAAAAATGTGCCTGATGCAGACTGTCCTTAAACCCTTGCAGATAACAAGAAAAAACTCCCCAAAAAATTGGGGACATGTTGTTTTGAATTGTGAGCTTTATAATGCTTACATTTGATTCAATTGAATTCATCAATTCATAATTGCTATTCAAATTTGTAAATTGTACAATCACATACGTTAATTCCTGAGGTATTAAGGTTTTCTTTGTTGTGGTCCCACAGATCACTTTTTCCAACAAGGCTGGGTGTATATCCGTCCCAGTTTCTATTACATTTCTTCTGTCAGGAAAACGTGGCTAGAAAGCAGAGCTGACTGTCTGCAGAGAGGTGCGGACCTCGTGATCATCAACAGCAAAGCAGAGCAGGTGTGTGTGTGTGTGTGTGTGTGTGTGTGTGTGTGTGTGTGTGTGTGTGTGTGTGTGTGTGTGTGTGTGTGTGTGTGTGTGTGTGTGTACGTATTGTGTACACATTTTCTGTTAAAATCTCCTGTATTTTGAATCGTGTGATGGATGTCAAGTCAAAGTCAACTTTAATGTCAATCTTCCAGTTTGTGTGTACATACAGAGAGATCGAAATACTGTTTCCCACAATCCCGAATATAAAAACAATGTATATAGAATATAAAATGTAAAAATATGTGTGCAAATATGTATGCATGTATATACACAGTGCGACTGGTTTCTGCTGTTAAGAAACCTAAATAAAAACACAACAATCAATATATACAAAATAACAGTCACTTCAATATTTTGAGAATGTACATCAGTGCAAATTGTCCATAGAATGTGCATTATTGCAATATTGTCCATAGCAGCGTAAAAAGTGTCCGGTGTCAAGGCCACCGTCCATTTCTACTGATGATTGACGATAAGTGTTTTTCTCTGTAAACCAGGATTTCATAACAAAATTCAACAGACTCATATGGATTGGACTGACGGACGTAAAAACCGAAGATACTTGGAAGTGGGTGGATGGCACTTCACTCAACAAAAGGTTAGCTCATAGCTTTTTTTTCAAATGACATTAAATCAAAAAAGCGTCTTGTAGATGTTCATGTTAGATTAATAAATATATCTAAAATGATTCAAAGGGAACATTTAATTGTGCAATTTAAACCAGTTTATCAGATGCATCTTGTGTTATGTTTGTTGTTAAAGAAGATTTATGTTTTGGTTTCAGCTACTGGGGACCCGGGGAGCCGAACAGCTTTGAAGGCAATGTGGAGGACTGTGTAGAAATAAGGTTTTTTGACCTGGAGAACAGCTGGAATGATATTCAATGTGGAGATCAAAACTTCTGGATCTGTGAAAAGATGTTAGCTATATAACGCAACATAATAATGAAATAAACTCCACTTCAAAAACAGACAAGGAGGCACATGCGCAGATACAGATAGAGAAGCAAACCAGATTTAAAGTCTTTAGGAATATCTGATTTGTGGCTTTGTTTAATAAGGAAGGAAATGTTTTGAGCGCGTTGACCTCAACAGCACTCTCAGTGCATGTAAATGTTTGTTTAAAATACATGTATTACACTGGCTTATTTGTATTTATACTAGGGCTGTCAGTCGATTAAAATATTTAATCGCGATTAATCGCATGATTGTCCATAGTTAATCGCGATTAATCGCAAATTAATCGCACATTTTTTATCTGTTCTAAATGTACCTTAGAGGGATATTTTTCAAGTTTTTAATACTCTTATCAACATATGAGTGGACAACTATGCTTTATATGTTTGTTTATTATCATTTGAACAATGACAAATATTCTCATGAATATTAAACACAACAACCTCTGAACATTACAAATATTCGCCTCAATTCAACCTAGAACCTCTCTCATACAATACTGTGTGTGTGTGTGTGTGTGTGTGTGTGTGTGTGTGTGTGTGTGTGTGTGTGTGTGTGTGTGTGTGTGTGTGTGTGTGTGTGTGTGTGTGTGTGTGAATGTGGAGGATCGTTGGAGCTATGTGCAGCTCAAGGCATATATGCCTGTGTGTATGAGCTGTGTTGCGCGCACTATCCGTGCTGAGTGTGCTGTCTGGCTACCTGCATAAAGTCAAGTGCTCGGCGCAGTTGTCGGCGAAATGTCGCTCCTCTGTTTTCATTGAAACAGCTCCTTATATCCGTTAGCTCAGCTAGCTAGCACCAGATGCTAACAACAACACGTAAGGTGTGCTTCGCTCGCGCCACACATACACACACCCTCCCGGTCCTCCCGATGGCCAGTCCGGGCCTGCCGGTGAGCGTGGAAGTGTGGTCTGCCACAAGCGGGCAGCAGGAGCGGGGCTGTCAGCATCAGCTTGTAGATGGTATTTTAAACTCGATGCGCTCTGAAACTACGGCGGCCGAGGACAAAAAATACACATGCGTTAATCGCGTTAAAATAATTAGTGGCGTTAATTTTTTTTTGCGTTAACGCGTTATTAACTTGACAGCCCTAATTTATACCATTACTGAAAGTGAAAGCAATGGAATAACCTAAGCTGTTTGAATTAAGATCATTCCTATTGAACTAGATGTATGTTTAAAGTCTTGTTTCTGCAGATGCTCTAAACCCCATCTGATAATTCAATGGATGGTTGCCAATATTTACAAATAATCATGTGATAATAATTGAAAGTGTGTAATGATTGCTTGGCATTATGTCTGGGAAGGAGAATACAACTAATACAGTTTTTTCTATCCTCTGGCACAATAAATGAATCAATTAAATGTTAAAATGTCAAGTATTCGGTATTGCATTAAACAACAGTTTACTATATTGTTTTTTTTTATTCAAATAATAATAAACCACCAGCTGTCATGCAGCTTTACTTCAAATACTTTGTCAGTGCTGCAGCTACAAATATTCACCTTCTGAGCACATCTATCTTTCAGTCTACAGATAGATGGATGGGTATAGATAGCTATACTAGATAGATAGATAGATCGATCGATAGATACATAGATATATATTAGATAGATAGATAGATAGATAGATAGATAGAGATAGATAGATAGATATTAGATAGATGATAGATAGATAGATAGATAGCTATACTAGATAGATAGATCGATCGATAGCTATACTAGATAGATAGATCGATCGATCGATCGATCGATAGATAGATATATATATATATATATATATATATAGATAGATATTAGATAGATGATAGATAGATGATAGATAGATAGATAGATAGATAGATGGATGTGAACTGTGACATTAAAACATTTTGTGATAATAGAAAGCCCCACCATGTAGTTTGTATAAGGGTCACCTAACACCTTTCAAACCACCAGCCCTCAGTTTCCTGATGACGTGGCAAACACATGCGTAAATAGAAATGATAGTTACTTTCCGTGCACAGTTGAGGGTGATGAATGTCAAACGCACACACTGCAGACTTTGATGACATCAGGCAGCACGGACCAAACTGCACCTTCAGTACAGCTGGACACCATGGGTGAAATGTATGAAGGTAGATATGGTGCAAAATGCGAGAGCGTGTAAAACCTGATGTGAGCACTTGCAGAAAAGAAATCTGAGCTTGTGTGCATACATTTACACTTGTATAACATATCCGTATCTTTGAACCACATTTGAAGTCACAGAAGAAAAAAAAAAGTTTTGTAGCTTGTAGAAAAAAAATGAATTTAGTGATGAAATGTTCACTTGCAGAAAAATATATATTTTTTAAATATATTTTCCATTACAACTGCAACTTGGTTATTACAACCTCTCAAATCAGTCATTACAACTTCACGAATCTGCTCTGTGGCAGTATAAATCCACGAATCTGCGGCCTTGACTTTTGCTACACTTCTTGCGATGAATGTGTCGCAAAAGTAATTTTCACCTGTAGATGTGGGGGGACGGAGGGGGGTTGGAGCGAAGGGGCGGAGCTATCACAACGACGAGCCTCGGGTCAGCCACACAGTCACAGCCATAGTCAGGTCGAACCAGATGACTGCGGGGCTAACGGTCCGTGTCGCTACCAGTCCGCTGACATAGCGCGTCAATCAACGGTAAGTTTTGCCCATTACTTCCCCAGTATTACTTTGAATATTATTATTGTGATTGAGGATGAAATCCGCTATGAAGACCACCGTTTTATATCGTGCAGTTTAGCGGCAAAATAACGTCAGTTAGCCAGCTAACGCTAGCTTTGTTGAATTTATGCTAGCTAAACAAGTAGTGGTTGTAGTCTATACAGCAGTAATTCATATATTATAGCCTACTGCTTTGGCACTAACGGTTGATAACCGTTTATGAACATAAAACCAATTGAACTGTACTGAAATAATGACAAGTTTTATAATTGTCTTGGGCTCCTGCTGTGTTTTTAAAGCCTTTGTAAATTATCCATGCTATTTTCTATTTAGAACGAAGACTTCAGAATCTTAAAATCCCTTGACGTTTGTATGCAATTGTGCTAAATTCAACACTGGAATCAAGCAAATATGAATATGTTTGCATGACGTTATTTATATTTTGCCATCACTCAATTATACGTTTAATACATTTAAAGGGGACCTATCATGCAAAATGCACTTTTGTACGTCTTTTATACATGAATATGTGTCCCCGGTGTTCCAGGGAACTCACCAAGTGTCAGAAAACACAACCCTCTCTATTTTCCTCCATACCCAAATCTCTAAAAAAGGGGCTGCACCGGATCTGATAAAAACGGATCCAGATTTGAACACTGTCCTGACGTCAGGACGGTGGCGCTACGGCTATTGGGCCAACTCTCCACCTATCAGGGGAATGTGGGGTTGGGCCACGGCCACGGCCATTGCCCAACCTCTCATTCGCATATAGGCTATCGGCAGGCTCCCCCAGTCACATCTATGTTTTTGCGTACTCTAACAATGATGTCGTCCAAGGGAGTTAAACGTTGTGCTGATGTTGGCTGCAATAATCTGGACAAGGGCAAGGTACTGCATGCACTGCCATCTCTGGAAAAAGACAGGAATCTGTGGCTAGAGTTTATTTTCCAGGGACATGTGCCAGAAGACTACAGCAGATTTCTGCTTGTGTGTTCACAACATTTTGCCCCGGACATGTTTATGAACGTCACTCAAGTCAAAGAAGGATTTGCCTCCAAACTAAGGCTAAATCCGGGATCAATACTGAAGTAAAAAGATATGATTCTAAACTGTATTGAAGTAAACATGTATTATTTTGAATTGTATTTTAGTGAACATGTATTGTTTGAACTGTTTTAAGTAATCACATATATAGAAATTATATTCTCACTTACAACTCACTGACCCAGAGATCCTGTTACACACACATACACCTCCCTTCTCACCAGCACACACACACACATGTTCTTTTCAAGGTTCTTTATGGGCATCATTATATCTGTATACAATGTTTAATTGTCTGAGAGTAACAGTTTATGTGAAATATCCATGGGAAAATAAGGGAGTGGATATCGGGGCAGAGATAAGATTGACTTTGACCTTGTGGAACCTTGGAATCTCACGTTCTGGTCAGAACTCTGATTCGCTGTATTGGACCTGACCAGAAGTGAATCCAACCAGTAAAAACACCTGGGGGAGTGAGCAGCTCACACAGCTCCTCCTCACGGACTCTCTAATTCGCTTCGGAGTAAAATGGGAAGGGAGAAGTCAACCCATCTCTGCCCCAAAATATGAATATGAATACTGTTGTTTTTGTATGAAAAATGCTTTCTTGTTTGATGAGTTGGTTGGTCCCGATATCTGTGTCCGCATCGCATCACAAACCTGAAGTCCGGAGTACTCTGTAAAACTTGTATACGTGTTTTGTTTCCTACCAGTAAACTCAGATAATTGTTATAACTTTTGATTCCGGTGTTTTCAATTCCTTTCTTTATTAAATAGAGATCAGCCTCATCCAACGAACGGCGCGTAGCAGAGGGGGGGGCTATCAGCCACCACCAATAGGTGTTCTGCTCCAACAATACCCACCATCCGGGACCAGGCCAGTGAGGCCACATCCAATTTGGAAGCTGTACGTTTTTATTTAGCGGTGTTTTTCCTGATAAAGCTATTCTAGCTTGTAGCATGTAGCATGTAGCATGTAGCTTCACCGTATCAATGTCGCCTCAAACCCAAACAGTAATCGGTTAGGTGTTTATATGTTTTTGTAAAAAAGAAAATTATTTTGTACGCTCCGCTGTCTTTGCTTTTATTTTAATTATCAGGCATTTGATAACATGCTCAGACATACTGCCGCAATGGCGATTTGTGTGAAGGCTGTAAAGCCACGCCATAGGAGATAACAGAAGTATTTATTCTCGTATTTATTAGTATTTTGTATCCTCTAAAATCATATAAAGTAAGTTATAATAACAAACGTAATCTTCTGTAGCTAATGCTTTCCACTACACGGCCTCGCTCGGCCCCGCTCGGTATGGCTGGGCCTCGTTAGGACTGGCTCACTTTATGGCGCATTTCCATTACAGTTTAGGAACTGGGGCAGTATCTATAGTAACGCAGTGTAGGCGGAGCCGTGACGTGATCTTCAGAGGACCCCAGAAAAACAAC